ACTCCCCTTTTTCTCCTCTTTTATTTCCTATGGGAGGGGCCAATCACCTTCCACCTGTGACTTTACTCCCATGTTTACCCTGATTTCTGAGTTGTTCTTTTCTTCTAGCAGCTCTGTGCAGGGTGCACACTGGGAACAGGCTCCAGCTGTTCCTCTGCCTCACTGCTCTCTAGCTCCATAGGCAGCTGACAACTGCCAGATGGCCTTGGTCCCCTCTCTGCCTCCGACACAGAGCCCTCCTCAAAGCCTTCCCCAGACTCCAGGACTGGCTCAGGTTCCTCCCCAACCCTCCTTACTGTCCAACTCTTCTGCCATCTCTACTGGCCACTGGTGGGCCACAACATTCCCTTCGGCAGAAGTCCCACCAAGTTTTAAAGACCCAGATATTTGTATCTCTACATGATCCAGGGATACACGTTCTCTAGAAAGCTTGGTGATGGAACGGCACAAGGAGGGTGGGAAGGAGAAATTGGACTCATTGAGAGCAACCGTTGTTAGTTTTCTCTTTCTTCCAACTACTTGCAAAGAGAAGAGATTCTTTAAACTCGTCCTGTCTTTTTCAGAAGAAACTGCTTTTCGGAAAAAGAGGTTGTGCATTAAATTTATTCCCCGGGATTCTACAGAGGCCGCCATTTGTGATATCCGCATCCTTGGCCGAGGCAAACAAACTCTTCCACAGTTTACGTACATTGGGTATGGAGATGTTTTCATTTTTTCCTCTGAAATCAGGACCTTTCCTTAGCTTTTTTTCAGATGAGGCCAGGTTTCCCTTCCAGTAGGACCTCTGGCTCATTTCTAAACCAGTCCTAAGGGTCTTTGTTGTGTCTTCTATCAACTCAATAAAGCATACAACGAGTAATTGAAGGAACTAGGTATGTCTAGTGTAACAAAGAGAAGCACTATGGGTATCACAATAGCAGTTTTCCTATCAGACCTGGAAGCCATCATTCCCCTTCTACTGTGGGAAAATGGGAGGGGGGAGGATTATATGGATTGTGAGTGATATATAGTCAAAACAACATTCCTTTCTCAGAGAGTCAAGGACATTTTGACCTGCAGCTGTGATGGTGTGACTGGGAGACATCACCTATTTTGGACGGTGTGACTGGGTCATGGGATGGACGCGTGGGTGCTGGGCAGGGACGTGAACTTTCACTTGGGTGGGGAAAACCTGGAAAATTTCGGGTTTTCCCAGATGTACCAATATTTTTTTTTATTTAAAAAGTTATATTATTCCCATTCAAGTTCATTCACAAGTATACATTTTTATAGTTGCTATTTAACATTTGTCTAGTCATCATTAATCTCTATATTTATTTTTACACCCCTGTATAATTCAGTTTGGGTCACCCCGTGCTTTCATCTTATTTTGCAACAACCTTGCTCTTTCTATCTTCTCAAACCTCTCTTCTCTGCCTTCTTCTTTCCTCCTCTCCTTCCTCTTTTCTTCTTCCCCTCTCCTTGTCCCTTCTCCTCCTTCTTACCCTCTCTCCTCCTCTAGATTCCCCACCCTTGCTTTCTCTGCTTTACCCTTTCTTCCTCCCTCCTCATCCTCCCTCCGTTCCATTGTTGCTTATTTACTTTCTCTGATGGGTTCTCGGGGTGGCGTTTCAGCACCAGATATGCCAATATGATATCTGTAATAAAATAGACTGTTGAGGAAACTCAAATCTTCAGGATCTATCTTCTTTTGTTGGGGGTGTTACCTGGAACCCTGACATCTCCAATATTTGAGGGGCTCTCCCAAAGAAGAGGAGGTCAACCCATTCTCCTAAGCACCAGAGGGCAGGTCAAGAAATAACAGATAGAAATTTATGAAGGAGAGATACTTATCAACCTAGAATTAAGGAGAAATTTCCTGACCATGAGAACAATTAATCAGTGGAATAGAATTTGTGGGTGCCCCATCACTGGAGGTTTTCAAGAAGAGATTGGACAGTCATATATCTGGAATGGTTTGGGTCTTCTACTTGAGCAGGAAGGGACTAGAGAATATCTAAGGTCCTTTCAAACCTTATTATATTAGGTGTTACCTTGAATGGAATTTAATTGTTTCCTCTCTTTGCTGAAAAGGGAATTGAACAACATGGGGATCTGGTATCGAATGGGGAAGGTCCCACGGAACCACGAATCATCTCAGCCTACCACACCTTCTCCACAAGCACCAGCCACCACGCCAGCTGCCAACCTTCCCAGGTGAGATGTGGGCTTTTCATTCTTCCTTGCCAACGATGGCTCCCAGGTGGAACCTAAGGCGAAAACTAAGGGGTTTTTGAAGCACAATTCCTTGAGATGGACATGTGCTTCAACTGCTATCTGTGGCCACTTTGTTTCCGGATTAAATTCCTTAATTCAGAAACACCCAGTTGCAAGATCCCCTCACACCATCTTATGCTCTAGTTCTACATCTGACCTATTTATCACCCATCTCTGCCTGTTTTTGTGTTCCTTTCTCAGCTGTAGTAACAGCTATGATATTATTTTTAAAAAATTGAATGGGCAGTATCAAACAATGACAGGCAGGCTGGGAATTTTAAAAGGGGTGATACTTTGTCCTAGCTAACATTAATTTTGCGATCCCATTATTGTGACACTCTTTTTTTCTCTTTCTCCTCCTCCTCTTCTCCTTCTTTTCTGCCTGATCCTCTCATTTCCTCTTCTTCTTAATTTTGCTTTTTTTTCTCATAATCATCTCCTCCTCCTCCTCCTCCTCCTCCTCCTCCTCCTCCTCTTCTTCTTCTTCCGCTGAACTTCCTGGAAGACTTAATTCTCCATTCTTGCAAGGCATGCTTTTTTAAAATTATTTCTCTTTGTTTCACTTTCTTACTTTCCTCCAGATGTTGGGGATCGGAATGTGAACAAAGCGTTAGAGAAGGGGGGGGGAACAGAGCAGAAATTTTGAATCTTCTTCTTCTTCTCCTTCTCCTCCTCTTCCTCCCCCTCCTCCCCCTCCTNCTTAAATGGACTCCAGAGGATGGTGGAGGACAGGAAGGCCTGGAGGAACGTTGTCCATGGGGTTGCGGTGGGTCTGACATGACTTCGCAACTAACAACAACAACAAATAGTGGATTCCTAAAGAGCCAGTTTGGATTAGCGGTTAAGGCTAGAAGCTGGGAGACTGTGAGTTTGGATTGGAAGCCAGGAGATCATGAAGTTGAATTAGAGCTCAGGAGACACTCAGTTTGGATTAAGAGATCTTTTGCCAGGACACCCATCAGAAGCAGGAGGCCATGAGCCAGGAGGTGCTGGATTAGAATTAGAAGCCAGGAAACTGTGAGTTCTATCCTAGCTGTAGGCACCAAAGCCAGCTGCCTGATTTTGGACTGGTCTCCGCCTCTCAATCCCAAGAGCCAGAATCAAATAATGCCGAAGGTTATTCCCTCTCAGCTGTGGAAATTCCCTGGCGGGAGGCAGGGCTAGTCCTCCCTTAGCCCTAGGAAGCTCTTCCCAAAGATGCTGCCAAGAAAGCTGTATAGTCTTGTCTCTGAGTTGCCAGAAGTTGAGGCTGCCTCCAAGGCAGACCCACAGAAAATTATTTGGTTCCTAGTCAGGCTTGTTCCCCATTATTCACCTTCTCTTTGCTCTCCTGTGCCAAGATTCCTGTGGTGTGTGTGTGGGTGTGTGTGTGCGCGCATCTTGATTATTGCAGGGTGCAAAATCCCATTTCTCCCCTCCCACTCGCCCCCAAGGGAAAGATGTTTCCAGAAGGGTTCTGCTGACACAGGATGATGGGCCTCTACTTGCATGGCTGTCAGAACAAGGGAGATCTCGGAAACGGTTTCCGATGGGAAGGTTATGAAAACGTGAGCATAAAAAGCGTTGCTGTAGAACGTGGCTTCTTCTCCAGCCTTTAATTAATAAGGAACAACATTGGCTTGGATTGCAAGCCGGATTCCTTGCTCTAACTTGGCATGGAGGCATCACCTCTCCCCCCCCCCCCCTTCCCGTTTTGCTTTCTGGACTTTTTGGGCCAAGCTTCAAAAAAGAAACCTGATTAGCAAAATGGATGGATGCCTCCTCTGCCCAGATAGGGATGTTCCCTGTCTGTGTCACTATTATTTTTTCCTATGGTGGTGTCATCATAAAACCGGAGCTGTGTTCATGCTTTGTAATTCTGGGAAGATGTGGCTTCCAAATGCTCGAAATAAGGGCATTTCAAGCCAATATCCCAGTCGGGTTTATGCTGGTCTATAACCATAATTGTGGCTAAGACGCTGAGCTTGTTGATCAGAAAGGCCGGCAGTTCGGCTGTTCGAATACTTAGCACCACATAACGGAGTGAACTCCCGTCACTCGTCCCAGCTTCTGCCAAACTAGCAGTTCGAAAGCACGTAAAAAATGCAAGTAGAAAAATATCTTTGGTGGGAAGAGAACAGCGTTCCGTGCACCTTCAGCGTTGAGTCATGCCGGCCACATGACCACGGAGACGTCTTCGGACAGCGCTGACTCTTCAGCTTTGAAACGGAGATGAGCACCGCCACCTACAGTCGGCAATGACTAGCACATATGTGCGAGGGGAACCTTTACTTTATAACCATCATTGTCAGGCCTGGAAGTCATCTTTTACATTGGGTTTTCTGGCCTGCCACATTTAATGCTCATTTAATGGGGAGTGTTATATGGAGTATGGGAGATATATAGTCTAAATAACATTGCTTTCTTAGAGTGTCAAGGACATCTTGCCCTGCACCTGGAAGGGCATGACTAGGAGGCATCTCCAGTTTGGACGGTGCCTGATGGGACACAACATGTGATGGACATGTGGGTGCTGGGCAGGGTCTTGTACTTTCATTTGGGTGGGGAAAACCTGGAAACTTTCCAGGTGTGCCAATACGACATCTCTAATAAAATGGAACATTGAGGAACCTCAATCCTCAGAGTCTTCTTTCGTTGGGGGTGTCACTTGGATCCCTGACAATAACCCACATTTGATTGATTGATTGTTCACAATCATTCCAGTCTCTTTGCCAATGCTCAAATAATTGTCTTATCCAAGATTTAATCTTCCAAAGCCATGCCTCTTGACCCAGCGTCCAAACTTGAGCTGAAACCCAGGGATTGTTGGGGAGAAAATCTGGATACACGGATTGTACAATAACCTTATTGACTGGATGATTAATGGTCTTGTGGGAATGTAGTTTATACTTATTGGGGGGGGGGTGATTTAGCTTTTTGCTGAATTCTCCACTATTTGCCAGTCATTAAGTGTTCTGCTTTTCTTCCAACAGAGTCACTTAGGTAATGTCTTGGTTGACATGAAACTCATAGATGTAAAAGATACTTTGCCTGTCGGCTTCATCCCAATTCAAGAGACTATGGATACACGTAAGTAGAGTTAGTAGCCTTTACTGTGATCAGATTCTCTCTAGATTAAACCAGGAAGAAGATTCTCTGGCACACCAGCTAATGATTGAGTTGAGTTCTATCTTCATCCCTGTTGTAGGGTTGTAATTGAAGATCAACCCATCAAAATCCAAACTAGACAAGAGAAGAGGAAGCTAAAGATTGAGGTTCAAGGGGGAAAGAAAGCTAAAAGAAAATCCTGAACTATGGAAACATCTTGGTCAACATTCTGACATTAGGACTGGTGACTTCTGACAAGTTCTGGATGAAATTCAGAACTTTCATACTAAGGTGGTTCCTTAGTATGAAATTTCTCATACTAAGGAATCACCATAACTGGAACCAGTGTAAACTTCATCCAACATAGCTGGATGGCCAAGTGTCGTCATTCTGCCCTCTCCTTCCTACCACAGGATTTTTCTTTAGGATTGACACTGTACAACTGGCCCTTACTGTTGTTCTTCTGACCTAGGCGTCCCCTAAAAAGCACGGGAGTCTTTGTCCCAACAAAACCCCTTTTATTAAACGAATGTGAATTCCTCTCATTTGCATTCAGGCAAAGGGCTGGCAAACAGTCTTTCAAAGGAGTATTTATAACTACAGACCTTATCTAACTTTGGAAATCTGCCATATAAATATTTTCCAAATGAGGTGCTGTGCAAGAAAAGACTGGGCACATAGTCTCTGAGATTCACGGACAGATCTTCACACTCCCGAAACAAATCTAATGAACAAACAAAATGCATTGTTTCCTGCAAAAGCCCACTCCCCTTTTTCTCCTCTTTTATTTCCTATGGGAGGGGCCAATCACCTTCCACCTGTGACTTTACTCCCATGTTTACCCTGATTTCTGAGTTGTTCTTTTCTTCTAGCAGCTCTGTGCAGGGTGCACACTGGGAACAGGCTCC